GCAGGTTACAATATAAAAATGTTTGTCATAACCATGTCTTGTTATTTGAAAGGAGTTTTACTTTTAAACTGTAAGTGTATTTTATTTAGTAGTGTTAGTTATGATAGTTTAGTTATGATGTAAATAGAATAAAAATTACTCAAGTAAACGGACAGCCAAAATTTCTACTCAAGTACAGTAACAATGTATTTGTACTTAGTTACTTTACAGCTCTGATTTTCAAGGTAACTGTTCTGTCACTGCAACCACAACAACACAAAGGTCTTCAATTAATGCTACCCGGCTTGTTAGTGTGATTTTTGTCTCCACAGGGAGGCACCCAGCAGCTTTCAGAGTGTCTGTCGGAACGCGTCGGGTGGAAAAACGTCCGGCTGGGCTCGGCTGTGACGGCCATATGGCAGGTAGAGTACAGTAACGTCTCACTCGGGGGGCTGATGAAGCGTGACACTGAGATTACAGCTTCCTCGCTGGGGAAACAGCCCATCTAGTGTGAAGGGGGGACTGTCTGTTCCGCCTGAGTGTTTCTCTCGTTCACAGCTGAGAGGCCGAAGTGTGTGCTCTAAAGTGCAACGAACTCCCATCAGTGCAACAATCATTTCTCCACATGCTTGTACTAATTGACTCTTTAGACCTAAATTCTGCAAACAGGTGGATCAAATATTTACTGTGTTGAAATATAATTAATAGAGCACAGATTTAGGTTCTGCACAAGGTTAAGCAGTTATATTGCTTCTTTTTGTTACATTATCTGTAGTTTTAGACTTTTAGTTGGAAAGACCTTTAATGACTTCATTAGAGCAAAGAATTAAATTAGTTTACAGTTGATTTCTGATCTTTGAAATGCTACAAATGTAATTTGTATTTTTAAATATTGTTTTTGGTTTTTGCTTGTACCCCAGAAAAAGCATTTTTTATGTGTTTAAAAATAGAGAGAAACTGATAAATTTCAAGGTTTCATTTGGTTTTATGGAAAGTGCCAYGTGAATTTGTTCTGTTTTTAAGAGTTACAGATAGTTTGAAATGGTTGATACAACATTTTTTATTTGAAAGATTACATAAAGCAAGATTAAAACTCATTTTCACCAGGGGCCAAGTGAACAATTTAAGGGCCAGTTGTAATTAACATATAATGTTTACCTTTGACTAAACAAAAAAGACTATGTTCCTTTTTTCGGGTCTTTCCTGCATAGAAACAGTACTTTAACACATCCTCGTATGACACTGAAAAGTACTACATGTACAACTGAATAAATGTGAAATAAATAAAACTGAAGTGCTATTAAAAGTAAAAGTAAGAAAGTTTTACTCACTGTTTAGTTGTGTTGAGATGTGCCATCGTGAATTCTGAACTCTCCCACATTCCTACAGGGAATTCCCATATATAATCGACATGCATCATGGGAGATGTAGTTTATGGTCGATGCTGATTTTAAAGCAGATAATTTTGAGACATTAATACAGGTCTGTTAAACTGTATTGCTCAGGGGACCACAGTTACTTAAAGCCAACAGCTCAGAGGCAGGGCAAATATTATCTTTCACCTTTTTAAATGTGTTTTTAAATGTGTTTATTTTGTTGCCTTGAATCATAAATTTAAAGAATATCATTTATATAAAAACTATTTTCAAATTAAATTTAGTAAAAACAACAAATAAAATGGATTGCGCATTTGATGGGCTGGACAGAAGTCAGACCCGTGCCATGTTTGGCCCACAGGCCTTCAGTTTGATACGTGATGTAAAGAGAGCTCACCACTTATGAGCCATGAATTCATATTGTTTAATCATAATTCTTGGCTTATAATGGTTTAGATTCTGAACAAATGTTTAAGCAGTTTATTAACAGAAATGTAATTTTCTGTTGCTAATTCAGGAAGGAAAAAGTTTCAATGATGACAAAAATCACTTCCTGTTCTGCTTAAACGCGTCTCAAGACTTGGACCATGGAAAAAATACTATTAGGTTTTTATCTATTCACACTTGTGTACTAGGTTATTGGAAGCGCTCATGTCTCATGTAGCACGAGGCGGCGGAGAAGCCGAGCACAACCTTGAAATTTTGCCAGTCTATCAAAGTGTCCGACACATATCGACAGAGAGACACATTCACACCGACACTCGCAGCCACGAGCGATTTAAAGTTCCCACTTCACCACAGCTGAAGCACGCCTCGGACAGAAGGCCACACTTTTAAGTCCCAGTTGGCGAGGGTGTGTTTACACCCTGGATGTTCTTGTTGAGAGGCAACAGTCCCATGATGCTAAAAACCTGGAGTACTCCTGATTCATAAGAAAATTTCAAACTATTTTTAAAAAGGAAAACCTTTCGATGTTCTTTAGCATGTGGAAGCACTAATAAAGTGGATACTGCACATTTGAGCACTTCTCTCTYGGTTTAACTTCAAACAGGCTTTGTGTCAGACATCCTAACTCAGAATGGTGCTTTTATGTTGGTGTAATGACCAAATCAACCTATGACTTCAACTTCAATGAATCAACAGGCATTTTGCGCTACACAAAATCTGACAACAAGCTGGCAAAAATACAGCGGGTAAAATAAGTATTGAACACGTCAACATTTTTCTCAGTAAATATATTACTAGAGGTGCTAATGACATGAAATTTTCACCAGATGTCGGTAACAACCCAAGTGATCCATACATACAAAGAAATCAAACCATACAGTGGTTTGCAAAAGTATTCATACCCCTTGAACTTTTCCAT